TGTTAAAGTACTGAATTTGGTGCTGCAACTGATTGCACTTAAAAGCTCAGCATTTAAAAATGCATATTATTTAGTACCTGTATGTATATCTTTTCTTGCCTTTTTTCCCCCCTCTTTTTTCCCTCTCTTTTCACTTAGGGAAACTGAGGTATAGTTTTCTGTTTCATACTGTTGCATATAGTAATGGCAGAGCTGAGAGAGAGGAGCTTAGTGTTTTTTGATTCCCTCTCAGGGTCTTATTATAGATTGTGTTACATCGTTAACAGACCAAAATGCAATGATGTAGAGCACGTGTCAGGATGGCAGCAGAGTCCTTTAAGTTTCTTTGGTCATTTTGTCCTCCAGTTTATTTTGCAAATGTAACTTGTTCTAAATTCACAATCTAAAGTAGTAATTTTTAACATGTGAGATTTATTTCTTTACTATTCTAAATGAAGCTACGGTAACTTAGTTTTGATTTTTGTCACTGTTTCTGTGATTCAAGCAACACAAAATCCATTCTGAGGCATGTATTTAACTTGTATTGCCAAAGGAATACATTGTTTCATAATTGCATTTTAATCCCCCCAAAAGCTGACTTTAAATAGAAGTTCTATACTGTTCTGACCTTTCAAGCAATTATCAGTAGCTCATATCTTAAAGTCATCTGATAGATATACATTTCTGGTGTGTCCTGGCTTCTGTTGCTTAGTTAAATATGTATTTACATACTTGCAGTTAGGCATTTCATGCAGGTCTATGTAACTAACACTAGAGGAGAAGCATGTGATGAAAGGAGTTAGAGAAAACTCACTGAAAATTCAGGGGAGAAAGTATTTGACATCTTCAAGGAATCTGCGTTTCTGGCAGCTGGAAGCAGATTGTTCCACAAGTTTGAAGCAGCTTTGTCAAAGCTCATCTCAAGGCAAATTGGAGTTTCACTAATCTGTAGTGAGCCGCAGCAGGCTTGTACATCAGTGACTTTGGATGACACGTTAGATAACATTGAGCAGAATGTTGTGTTTATAGAGTAATAGATAGGATATTGCTTTAGCCCATAAAATTAGTTCAGAGCAATCCTTACACCAGACCGGTGCTCTGTTTCCATCAGTTGTTTCGCAGTCACTGAGCATTTAACAGGAATAGCTGAAGTAAAATGGATAATCTTGCTCAGTTTTAAAATTACTATTAACTTGCAAATATATATGTTTTCACCTTTAAAAAATGGAGTTGGGGGGGAGGGGGCAAAAGGGTGGCTTCCAATCACAATAATACAATGTTGCATTGATGTGTTCAGAAGGAAAACAAAGTTTTGATTCTGCCAGGACTTCAGTCAGTGGGTGATTTCTGTGTTGTCTCAAAAATCTGTGCACTGGATAGGTAGGTTAATTTGCATATTTTTAGCCCTTGTAGGCCTCACTTAGACAAAGCTTTTTATCTGACTTTTTTTCTGAAAGTTATCTAAGAGAACCGGTGTTAGAGAACCATCTCACCTGGGGAGGAGGGCCAAAGAAAAATGTTTAATAACTGACCAGGGCATCCTGTTTTGGAGAGTTCATCTCTGGATGGCAACAGTTGGAAGACCATTCATGGTAACAGGTCTTTGCAATGTGAAGATGGTGCAGCTCTTCACAGCTTTTCTCATCCATGGAAGGTAGGGGCCAAGTGTTTACCCACATGATCTCTCAGTTGGGATGGTTGAGCAGTGTGTTCTTGTGAGGCTCTGGACAAATCACATAGCACTTCAGTTTAACATCAAAAACGTTGGAAGGAAAAAAACTACACATATCAGAAAATACCTGATGGAATGAAATAAAAGAAACAGCCAGACTCCTCTTTGTTGCACACAGTAACAAGATAGGAGATGATGGGCACATCCTGTATTACAGGAATTACTGTTCAAACATAAGAAAAACTTGAGCAAAAACTGGCACACATTGCTTAGAACAGTTGTGGAGACTCCATCCTTAAAAGTATTCAAAAGCTAGCTACGCATAGCCTGCTTGAGGCAACCTCACTTTGAATAGAGGGGATGGACTAGATGATTTCCAGAAATCCCTTCCTGTCTGAACAACTTAGATTGCTTGATTGTCTTCCCCAATATGTCTACACTATTACCCAGGCTGGCTTCAGCATTTCAAGTTTCCAGAATGCTTCACAGAAAAATGTCCTTTTTTAACACTTCTTAATGCAACTTTTAGTCCCTCCATGTAAAGATAGTGGCTCAAGATAAGCATCAGAGGAAGTATTAGGTAGTTAAATTATATTTCTCCTGGCATCTGTTAGATTATTGAGTATTGCTGGAACCAGTGCTGTCAATATTTAGGTTTGGATCTTAGATGTTTAGTTGTCTGATTAAGCTGTTTGTATCTTAGCTCAAGAAGTATTTTATGTGGGAGAACACCTACACTGGTTACTAAATACTTGTGCAAATTTTTATTTGGTATCCAGCATCATTAAAATTCATGGTTGTACCATCTGTTCTTTTCATCACTTGTCATATGAGTGGTCATATGAATGTGTACTCAAAATGTGTCACAAAATATTCCAAGGAAATGTCAGACAAGGAAATATGGGGGAAAATATTACCTTGTGTACCTAGGCTCTGTTACAACTGTATTTAATGTATTTTCTGGATGGCATTTAAACAATTTTTTGAAGTTAACAAAGTGTCGCATGGCACAATGCTTGAAAATAATGTGCATACACAGTATGAGAGATGCAAAGAAATTTGTGCTGAAGCTATTAGAACATCAGTGCTCTCACTGATTCTTAGAAACGGTATTTTTACTATTTTATAAGTTTCCTCTTCTGTGTGGTGCCCTAGGCCAGGCTGATGGGAATTGTGATATAGTCCCACTGCATTACAGTGGTATTTTTTCTGAGAGTGTTCTGAGTGGTTGATACAGGCAGGAGGAAAGCTTGTTTTACTACTACCTTAACTTTGATATGATATGACTATGATATGATATGAAGTGTTTAGAATCACAGAATTGTTAAGGTTGGAAAAGATCTCTAAAATCATCAAGTCCAACTGTTAACCTAACACTGCCATGTTCACCACTAAACCATGGCCCCAGGTGCCACATACACGTTTTTGAACATTTCCAGAGATGGTGAATCCGCCACTTTCCTAGGAAGCCTGTTCTAATGTCGGACCACCCTTTTGGGTGGAAATTTTTCCTGATATCGAGACTAAAATTCCTCTGGTGCAACTTGAGGCCGTTTCCTCCCATTGTGTTGCTTGTTGTTCTGGCAGAAGAGACCAACCACCACCTGGCTACAACCTCCTTTCAGGTAGTTGTAGAGAGTGATATGGTTCCCCCTGAGCCTCCTTTTCTCCGGGCTAAACACTCCCAGCTCCCTCAGCCTCTCCTCACAGGACTTGTGCTCCAGACCCTTCACCAACTCCATTGTCCTTCTCTGGACACACTCCAGCACCAAATATGGATTTTGATAATAGTAGGTCCTACCAGGCCTAGAGGTACAAGTGTTCAGTGTTGCTCAAATTATCTTGGCAAAAATCGGTCCATGCACCTATAGGTCAAACCAATCCTTTGTATGAGGCCTTTAAAATGGCAAATTCTGAAATCTTTTATTGGGCTGCCTTTAAAGTGTTGAGAGTTCTTATTGTGATTTGGAATCAGTATTTGTTAAGTTCAACAGCGGTTATTTCTATTGATCACAAGAGCCTTACTACAGTTTTCAGGGAGAAGAGTAACTGACAATTATTTAAAATTTCACACGGTTTTATTGGTGAGATGATGAGATTTTTGAACACTGCTCTTGGCAAAACATTGCTCTTGAACACTAAACATTTGATCAACACTATTTTTCTATTTCCCTAACCTGCCTTCCACCTGCAAAAAGATTACAGTACATGTAACATAGGTTTTTGCTGCTACCTTTTATCCTCTATCTTAATCCTGAAACATGCTTGTGGAAAGAGTTAAGTGAGGAAACAAAGACTTTTGTGAGGCCATGAAGGGAATGGACTCGCTTAGGCACTAAGTTCTCAGTGCGTATTGTTAAAGCTGACATGCATAAGAAATTGCTTGGAGCCTTCTGAAAAAAACCTTTTTTTAATTATGTTTTCTAAAGTACCTGTTTAGCTTTTAAATCTGAAGTAATCAGTTTTTTCCAACTTTCATTTCTAGTGATATTTTTGTTCAAATGAATTGGTGTCTTTCCTCCCTTAAGCTTTGTTTAATATAAACTATCTTTTTATCCTTGCTTGCAAATATTGCAAATATCCCTGCTTGCTGTTTGTGCAAGGCTTCTCAGAATTCTTGCAGAATTCTTACAGAGTTCTTTAGACTCTTCCCAGTTTGCTGTGTTCTGGACTGAAACACTCCTATCATGGAACTGCTGGATAAAAGGATGAGTAGTAAGCTGAAAAAATCGTGGCATCTAATTTCCTGGCTTGTTTTTTAATTACAGATAGGTGCTGAACCAAGGATATGGTTGTGATTTGAAGTATAGTAATGAATCTTTTGGGATTTTTTCTTTATAAAGGGTTGAAAGATCATTCAGAGCTCCAGAATTAGATCTCGTTCTACACTGGTAGGGCCTAATTAAAAGTCTATTGTAAATAATGGGAATATCGCCTCGGTTAGATTTCATTCAGGTCATAAATAGTCCTCTCTTCAGTTCTACATAGTGGATGTGTTAATAATTTGTAAAGAGTCTCTGAAGTTTTTACCAGTATCTTGTACCATTCTTTTAGGAACCCGAAGTCTACAAGTCATCTGATATATCTTGTTAAAACACACACTGTTAAAATGCAATCTTTTTGTGGCTCTTTCCTCATCTTGAAATAGGAACTTGTATTGTGGCTTCAGTGTTTTCTGTGTGACATTTGGGGGGTTTTCTGTGAAAAATGGTGTAGAATGGCATTAAGGTGATCTTTTGGAACAGTCTGATTTTAAAGGGAATTTGGCAATATTTAAGTCACATTATAATAAGGTGAATGAGCTGTTGTTAAATAAAATGGTGAATATCTTCTTTTCTTCCTTATTTAGCAGCTGAAGGTTCTGAAACACAAGACAAGAAAATCACTTCAGGACAAAGCAACACTGGAACTAAACCAGGTATGCTTTTCCACATGCTCCATGTTAAAAGGCTGTTTGCCTCAATGGTGTATGGGAAGCAGCTGGCTTAGGAACTTCTAAAGTTTTTTGCTTTTGTACCTCTTGCTGTGTCAGTCAAAATGGTACCAGTGACTGTTCGTATTTAGTTAGGCTGGAATCTGTGGTTGTTTGCAAAGATGCAAAACTAAAAGAGTCTACTTTTATTTTAGTACAGCTTAGGAATGAGGGTTAGGAAGTGAGATAAGACAACAGAAGCCACTGTACTTGTATCTGTGCTTGAATGAGAATTATCTGCTGTAGGCAAAGATTTATAGCTTTTATATAAATGTGCTTCTGTGGAGGCATTTCTTCCCTTACCACAAAGCATGCCCTATTCTGTAATGTACACTATGCAGTGGGCAGATGTTTCTCATTACTTCACCATACCTGATTGGTACATTGTGTGGATTCAATTCACTGTTCACTTATACAGTTGAAAGTGTAGGTACTGTAATGCCTAATGCAGTCCTTGGTGCCCTGGATCTGTTCTACTTGCGTGCTTAGACTATGGTCCAGGAGAGCCCTTAGGTATCTAAATTCTGCTTGTAGCGCAATTCAGGTACCCAAGCTTAAAATATGCAGTTAATAATGATTTTGCTTAGGTGCCTTAGAAAGCACAGGTGCTTGTGTTGCTGAGGACTAGGCGCACTGTAAGCATTCCCTTTTCAACTCCTTGACAGCTTGGCAGCTCAGTGACTGTTTTGTTCTGACAGACTCTTCTCTATCCCCAAATGGGGTACCTTTGGTTTACCTCCCCAGAGGGAAGGAATCCCAGTGCTGTCTGTGTTCAGATCACACCTTGCATGCTCTGCCAGGCAGCGCCGGGTCCTGCACAAGGCACAGTATTCATGGCTGCTTTCAATCAGAAAGGCAGTGGGAGAAAGAGGAGAAAATAAAGATAACATTACCTGCTTCCACAGCAAAAACAGAGCTCTTGGTGTTGAACAGTGTTCAATACCCACTTTATCCTGCAGTAGTTTAATCCAGTTTTCATTTCTCAGGAGAGCATCCTAGCTGTTCCTATGTTCCCTTGATCTATGCTGGTGCGTAGAAAGGAACGCAAAATTCTTGGGGCCGGAGAGAGGGAAGGCACAGGCATGTGTCTAGGGTTTAACTCTACACCCAACCTGGTGGGAATCCATGTTGGAAAGAGAGCTTCTGAGAGATGGTGATTTGGTTTTTGTTTGTTCGAGGTTTGTTGTTGTTTTTTCTTTATACTGCGTATGAATTTTGTGTCAAACTGTTCTAGTTAAAAAACAAACCAGTTTGCTGTGGAGCAGTGACAGCTGTCATTATGAACAATGTCCTTATTGCCTGGAAGGTGTCTGTAGAATGAAAAAATATTGGGAGTCCAAAGCAACTTTGAATGTGTGCATGGCAGTGCAAGGGGAGTTAGACAAAGAGAAGAGGGTTTGAGATCCAAGCAATGCATCTTTTCAAGTAGTGCCTTGGCTTCCATTTCTTTCTCCCCTGGGTTAGTTCGTAGGTGTGAACTGACATACAAACTGACCGTTTCTTTCCACTTGATATCCCTTTTAGTTTCTTTAGTGTAAGAAATTAGCACCCTAGGAGTCTTGGACAAATGGGAGAGATGTGTGATCTGAACACAGACAACACTGAGATTCCTTCCCTCTGGGGAGGTAGACCATTCATGAGAAGAGATTGAGAGGATTATAGATGGAAATGACGAATAGTAGTTGAGTGACTTTTGAAGCCACACTGAGTGAAGCTGATAGTATGAGCCACAGAAACTGGCAGTATGTTGTAAGTGCATATGACAATTGTTAATTTAGCAAATTAATTCCTACAAATGTCAACTGTGCCTAAGAGTTCGTTGAGTATTAATTATATAGAAGATTTGAAAACTTGCTTTTCCCTTTTGGTAATATAATTAGGGACCAAAACCCACTGACGTTTCAGTGCTGAATTTCTGCAAAATATGTTTGTAGCTTGTAAGCTTTTCAAAATTAAACTGTTAACTTATTAAAATGAATTTTGAACTTGTACTCAGGTGTTGTAAGTTTATGGAAAAATACTGTTTTCATATGTAATTTAGAAGCTTGATTTTCAGTAGCAGATAAAAAATTAAGTTCCCCTTTATAGAACTATGGCTTATTTATTTTCCAAACGTCCCTCTCACACAAATGCTTAATTCTATGCCTGTTATGTAAATGTAGTGAAATAGGTTGCTTAGCGTGAGTTCCCGCATATTGTATCATAACTAAACTGCAGCTTCTATAGCAGCATGTGGGTCTTCCTGGAATGTTGTCTATAAGGCTTTGCATATCAATTATTTCTGTAAAAAATGACAAATTCTTGCAAAATTTGTTGCAACTGACATGTTTCCCATCTTCTTGTGCAGTAATGTAAATCTTATTGCCTGATGATGAATATGAGCAAGAGAGAGTACAAAGTACCATGTGTGTTTGTCCTAGTATTCCTACTGAATAAGAAAAATGCCAGTCCCACAGGTATTTGTATGATGGGTTGTTAGTGAGTACAGACATGAGAAAGAAAATGGGGAGCAGGCCCAGTGAACCCAGTGAAATTCCTTGTTTTGCCACAATTTGAAACTACTGATGCTATGCACTGAAGGTGCCAGGAGATCACTTGGATTCAGAATACAATTGTTGGAGGTTGGGCTTGTAGCCAAACTATGAAGGATCATTTTCAAGGCTCAGAAAAGACATTTTAATTATCAGTGTAAGATTTGCACTGATAATATATGCTCCAACCTCTAGCAGAGCAAATGCAATGATGGTCTGCTACAAAGGAGTTATCCCCATCTTTGTACTAATATTGATTTAGCTCTTTGTGATCCCAAATGTATGCAAAATAGCTTGTTACTGAAGACCTACTTACACTGTGCACAGCCTGCAACTTTGTGTGAATTCTCTAGGATTGTTCTAAAATCCTGGGGTGTTGGGAGAGGGGCTGTTCATGCGTGAATGCTATCAGGTGTGTGATATAGAAAAAATAATTGGATATCTTCGAAGAAAGTGTCAGAGGGCAACTTTAAAAATTTATTTTATTCCTTCCATTGCTTATAATTAGGAATTCTTAAGGGAGACCTTTTCAGTTTGCCTGTCCATGTAACCCTCCTGCCTCTTTGAAGAATTGTTTCTTTTCCCTGATAGGGAAATCTCTCTTCTCAAGAAAGGGGGGGGGGGAAACCCAACGGAAACAATATTCTGAAAGAAGCAGGTTTTTACATTATTCCCCAGTGTCTCATCATTTTCTGTCAACTCAATGTTACATTGACTTTGCTGACAGCCCTTGAAGGGAATCCTTGTTTTCCAGGGGAATTCATATTGAATGTGCATTATTCCACAAGCACTAATTACTCATGCTACAGAAATTCATGTTTTGTGAATCCTGTGTGCCAGTCACGAGAGAGAAGGAATACTATTACCCTTTTGACCTGTGTCTGCATGCTAAAGAGACTGCATGCGAGTCAGCACACTTCTTCACATCAGCCAAATGTTAATCTGTACCATATGATGGACAAATCTATGCGATGGCATGGCTAGGCATGGTTTCATAAATAGCAACACTGTGTGCTATTCAACCAACATTACAGTTTTGATATGTAACTGGGTGATGGATTACCTTTGTCTTTGCTGGTGACTTGGTTTTGTTTTGCACCTTTCATTGTGGCTATCGTGTTTGAATGTTCTTACTGCCAACTATGCAATAGGTTTTCTCCTTGCAGCTGTTATTTTGCATTGCTGTTAACACCCTTAATTGGGGCTCTAGTCTGACGTTGCTGAGATGATAGTTTTTCACTGGTGAGAGTGCAAGAGTATTTAAGCTGAAGTTGTCAGTGAAATGGTTCATCCGAGAAGTCCTGTCATCCTTACGCAGAAACTTCTGTTAGAGTATGAAATGCTCATTATTGATTTTTTTTCTCTAATTCAGATAACTATTCAAAATTAGTCTAGCTCATCCTCACTTCAGAGATGTATTTTTGCAAATATCTTTAACCTCAGTTTTATGACCCATTGTATTGTTTTGCTAGTAACTTTCTTCACAGATATGCAGCCTATACGCAAGTATTTTTACAAGTTACTTACTTGTGCATTTACACTGAATAGTGAAAAGGCTCTATTGTCTTGTGCACTTTCATGGTGACAGTATTCTGGATAGTTCTTTATCTTAAAATACTTAAAAACTGTGTTCCCCTCAATACTAAAATAAATCAGACCATTTATTTATACCCAGAAATCTTTTTAATTTTTCTGTGGGGTTTTTGGTTTACTTGTGTTCTTATTCAAAGCAAACTTTTTCAATGCTAGTGAAAGAAGCATAAAATTAAGAGCTTTCCAGGTTTAGTAACACAGGCTGAGTCGGAAATTGGTTTTCACAGCATGCTGCGATGAATTGGTAACTTTGTTTGGAACCACTCCATTGCTGAGACTGGAAGTAGGATGCTAGCTGTTCAGAACTTTATTGACTTGTAGAAAGAGACAAGGATCTGAACAGCCCCCATGTAATCCAGAAGGAAACAGTTAGTGACCTGCTGAGCTGCTTGGATTCCCACAAGTCTATGGGACCACGAGATCCACCCAAGGGTGATGAGGGAGCTGGCAGAAGAGCTTGCCAAGCCTCTCTCCATCATCTATTAACAGTCTTGGCTCACTGGGGAGGTCCCAGATGATTGGAAGTTGGCGAATGTCACACCAATCCACAAAAAGGGCCGGAAGGAGGACCCAGGAAACTACAGGCCCGTCAGCCTGACCCCAGTGCCTGGCAAGGTTATGGAGCAGATCATCCTCAGTGCGATCACACAGCACCTACAGGATGGACAAGGGATCAGACCCAGCCAGCATGGGTTTAGGAAGGGCAGGTCCTGTCTGACCAACCTGATCTCCTTTTATGATCAGGTGACCCGCCTGGTGGATGAGGGGAAGGCTGTGGATATGGTCTACCTGGACTTCAGCAAGGTCTCCCACAGCATACTCCTGAAAAAGCTGGCAGCCCATGGCTTGGACAGGGGCACTTTGTGCTGGGTTAAGAACTGGCTGGAGGGCCGAGCCCAGAGAGTGGTGGTGAATGGTGCTGCATGCAGTTGGCAGCCGGTCACTAGTGGTGTCCCCCAGAGATCAGTGTTGGGCCCAGTTCTGTTTAATATCTTTATTGATGATCTGGATGAGGGGATTGAGTGCACCATCAGCAAATTTGCAGATGACACTAAGTTGGGGGGGAGTGTCAATCAGCTGGAAAGCAGGAGGGCTCTGCAGAGGGACCTTGGATAGGTTGGAGAGTTGGGCTGATTCCAACGGGATGAGGTTCAACAAGGCCAAGTGCCAGGTCCTCCACTTTGGCCACAACAATCCCATGCAGCGCTACAGGCTGGGGACAGAGTGGCTGGAGAGCAGCCAGGCAGAGAGGGACCTGGGAGTTTGGATTGAAAAGAAGTTGAACATGAGCCAGCAGTGTGCCCAGGTGGCCAAGAAGGCCAATGGCATCCTGGCCTGTATCAGGAACAGTGTGGCCAGCAGGTCCAAGGAAGTGATTCTTCCCCTGTATTCAGTGCTGGTGAGGCCACACCTCGAGTGCTGTGTCCAGTTCTAGGCCCCTCAGTTCAGGAAGGATATTGAGGTCCTGGAACAGGTCCAAAGGAGGGCAACTAGGCTGGTGAAGGGACTCAAGCACAAGTCCTATGAGGAGAGGCTGAGGGAGCTGGGGTTGTTCAACCTGGAGAAGAGAAGGCTCAGGGGAGACCTCATCACTCTCTACAACTCCCTGAAAGGAGGTTGTAGCCAGGTGGGGGTTGGCCTCTTCTCCCAGGCAACTATCAGCAAGACAAGAGGGCATGGTCTCAAGTTGTGCCAGGGGAGGTTTAGGTTGGATATTAGAAAGAATTTCTTTACAGAGAGGGTGATCAGACATTGGAATGGGCTGCTCAGGGAAGTAGTGGATTCTCCGTCCCTGGAGATTTTTAAAAAGAGACTGGATGTGGCACTTAGTGCCATGGTCTAGTAACCGCAGCGGTAGTGGATCAAGGGTTGGACTTGATGATCTCAGAGGTCCCTTCCAACCCAGCTGATTCTATGATTCTATGACTTCCAGAGACATCACTGAGCAAGTGGTGTTTTTCCAACAAAGCCTGAATTTTTAAAGTCAAGCCTGGGCTCTGACACAGGTTTTTTCATATTATCCTTAGTCTTATTGCTGTGATCCAAGGGGCCAGTTGCAGATATTCTTAAAGTTATGTAGCTTGCTTTCAACGTACAAGGATAGTTGAGGAAGTTGTTATCTTACTTTTCTGGTATTATACCAGTCCATGCATGTGGTGCACTCACTGCTTTTAATGCATTTGTTGGAGTTTTAATACATGTGCACACAAATATCTGTTGAGATCATTGTCATGCTGTCTTCAGAGGCTCAGCCAGAACTGCTTCAGAACTACTCAGCCAGATCAGTGCTTTCATCCGAACTGTTTTGCTTGGGTGCTGAACTTCTTCAGCATTGTGAAATAGGGCTTTTTGGTTGTTCTGAGGCAATATTGTTGGGAAGAAGATACTGTCCTGTGGGTGCATTTTGGAGAGAGGTTATGGAATAATAAATTTTTGTCAGAATGCTCTCAAGCAGTCAAGTTGTTTTGGGCATGGAAATAAAACTTCTTCCTGAGTTTTCACAGGCAGTAGTCTTGCTGGGTGTTCACAATTAAACCTTGGTTTATTCTTTAGGAGTGTTTTACATCTTAAATGTGAATGCGTTCTGATTATCAGTTGTTCTGGGCTTTTTTCAGAAGATTTCTGAAAATGTGTTCTATTTAGACATTAGAGCAACTAGAGTTGTTTAACAACCATTTTCCTGAAAGTTTGTTTATGGTAATATTTGATTTTATGCTATGTGCCTAATGTTTTCCCCCTCCCTCTATTTGTAGATCATCCAACAGTACTAAAGGTTGATGACAGGCAACGGCTTGCCAGAGAACGGAGAGAAGAACGAGAAAAACAGCTAGGTAAGGCCTGCTCTGGGATTTTTATTGTTTGAGGTTTTTTAATAGACTATCATCTGCATGCAGTGACTTTGCCAGTTTACTTTTAGAAGCATTCAGTAAAATAATTGTGCTACATATGCAGTAGTGTCATTCTTAATACATTATCCTATCTTTAAAGTAGATCTTTTAATTCATGCACATCTTGGGATTCATCAGTGCTGTATCTCTCACCTATTTTATGACTGTGAATGAAAGATGAGTTGATTTCTGAAATCATGCAAGGAAGCTTCTCTGATATAAATGGTATTTTGAAGTTTTAGAATATTTTACCAATTAAGATTAGACTACTTAATATGTTGAATACATCCTTTATTGCCATAAAATAGAATTGCAGAACATGTTGCCAATGTATGGTTTAAATTTTTTTATATAAACTTGGGGTATTTTTTCGGGTAAAACCCTTAATAGGTGTCAAATAGATGTGCTCAATACCTTATGTCACCTGTCTATGAGCACGTATAACACAACTCAGGTGAATTACTTATTTAACAAGTAATACTGATGGGCATTATACTGAGTACAGTGGTGAGAGAACTAAGAATTATGTGAAGCCAAATTGGTGGCTTTCTGAACGTGATGTGTATGTTTGGCTGCTACAAAGCTCTGTGGCAGTTGGGAGGTTGGGAAGCACAAGTATTTCCCCTTTTTTACATATTCATCCTGATTTCTTCAGATGATGAATTCTTATGACTTGAGAAACCGAAGTTCTTTATTTCCGGTTTCTAGCTTCTGAAAGTTTATAGAACTGTCTTATAACTCCAACCAGAGTTATGCTGCTTTTTCTAACCTGAGGAGCCATGATTTATTGTCACCTAGGTCTTGATAGTGTTTATAGCCTTTTGTTTTTTACAGCACCTTACAACATTGCAGTAGCCATGCATGAATCGTAAGGGTTGTTTTGGAGTGGAAAAAGAAAGTTTTGGTTTTGGCTTGCTCAAAGGGTAACATGAGGATGCTTGCTAATCCCTGAAAAGCTGCTCCTCGAGTTGATGGTATGTCTAAGCTTAGTTTCTTCAGGTTCCAGAGCAAATGAATGTTACTGGTCCTTTTTAATTAATTTTTCATATATGACGGTTCCATGTCTTGTATTTATTCTTTTCTCATGTTTGATTCTTGTGTAATAACAATGCTTTACTCAAGTGCAGAGAGAGATGCTTTCCTTTAATTTTCCCAGACTTTGATTTTTCTAGCTATTGGTAAATGAGTATCTGTTACTGGAAGGACATGACTTCTGTTGAGAAATGTGTCATTTTACGTGACATGTTTTAAAAGCAACATCAGGGGTTTTTATAAGTTGACATGGAATCCTTCATTTCCAAGTGAGTTCTGCATGTCCCTATGATGTATGAGTGTATTGTGTGTTCTTGCATGAAGAATTATTTTGAACTAACAAGGAAATTGAAAGTAGCATTGTACTTTCATCTGTATATTTGTCTGCTAACAGTATAATTTAGGAGCTGTCTCTTGAGATTTGTGTTCCAGTACAACAAAGCAATAATTTTTACTATGGCATGCAACTTTTTTTTTTTTCTCAGTGCAGAACCTAGATAATCAGTCATTCATGTCGTGAACCATATCAAAGAAATTCTGAAGCTGTCTCTCTTAAACATTAAGTTGTATAATGTTGTTACATAAATGTGTCTTGCTAAAAATTGGACTTGGATTTTGTTAATAGTGGGACATCAACCATGCAACAGTAAAGCAACTGAAGGATTTTTTTTTCAAAAGAATTAAGTTGGATTTAAGCTTAATTCCTTTCCTTTTGATTCAGGGGACCTGTCAGGTTTAGCAAAGACTTCTTTTTAAGCAGAAGTTGAGAATTTCAGTCATACCTGAAGTAAAATTATTCTCTGCTTCTCAAAAAAAAAAAAAAAGACAAGACAGTGTTCAGTTCTGTAAGTGTAGAGCTGGTAGTAATTTTGTTTTGTATTTTCAGCAACTTGAACTGCAGGAGGTCATGTTACCCATCTTCTCAGAAAAATTAAGTTGTTTTACCCTTCTGTTAAGAACATGTGGAGTACCACATGTGGAGTTTAATAAGGATTATGCTTATTTGTTGGACAATATTCTGATGAGAATTGATTTGAGACCTTTTTTCTTCCCCCTTTTGTTTACTTTAAAGGCTTAATTTTTTTCAAGTTCCACTATGCTGCGATAGATTTGACTTTCCTTGTGGTATAATGGGTTGGTAGGTGCTGTGCACTCTTGAGGGTTTCTTTGCACCTGGCAATGGTATTTTAGCAGTCTTATTCTACTTAGCGCACTTGGGTGTCTAACTCTTGTTTTTAATGAGAGTTTAGAGAGTAGGAAAGATACTGTCATTTTTGTTGTCTGGATAGTTATAGCATGTGTGTAGTGGAACTGTCAGCTTCTTGGGGATAATGTTATGCCACCTAAATGAAAAGAATAAAAAAACTTTTACAAAAATTTCCCTTTTACCTTAGTATATTCATATTTGGTTTTGGACCTTTCTTTAGATAACATAGAAGGTACACAGGGACACATGCTATTTCGGCAGATCACACTGTCAAGAAGGAATGATTTTTCTTTTTAGTTCCTTCACTGTAGGAAAGGCATTGCTTCTGAAATGCCATCCCAACACTTCTAAAATATGAATTCTTAAACACTTTTTTGTGTAGTTCATTTTCCATGATTAAAGTTGTATCAATTTGGTGTGGTTTTTTGCTTAATTTTTTTTATTCTTCTGACTATTTGGTAATGTAAGTATTGTTGATATGCACATTCAGACCTTTAAAGGATTATTAGAGTGATCTTTATTCTATAAACAATGGTTCCAGTGTTGTCACTTGCTCTTTAGTGATCAAGTTTTCATTTTTGTGCTCTTTCTACTAGCACTCTTTCCCACAGTGCCTAAAATTAACATCTGTCCTTTAAAATATAAATATCAGATCTCTCTATGTGAGACCAGCCCGCTTGGGTTTTGCAGGAAGGAAATCCCAAGAGAGGCAGTGGTAGGTGAGGGTGATAGCTGTCAAATGGGACTGTTCTCAAAGGCCAGAGTAAAGGGACGTGTCACATTTCTGGCTCCAGCTTGGCACTACAGTTCCTTTACACGTGTGAGGCTTACTGACTGTGTTCTGACAGTGGGGGCTGTGAGATGTACACATGCTGGAACTGGGATGTTTGTGAAGGCAAACATGGTCAATGACCTGGTCAAACTGGAAAATTTTAATAAAAATTACTGCTTTTTCGGCCTTAACTACCATATTGATTGTATTAGTACTACCAAATTAAACAGTGCTGAAGAGCATTCCGTGGTGCTAAAACTTAATTGTTCTTGCTGTTAAAATGTTATGATGGATCCTAGCAGAGTTTTGGCTCCATCCAACTAGCTGTCTGCTTGCTGATTCCTTGACAAAGTTTGGGAATTGGCAGGGGAGGCCCATGGGCTTTTCCTCACCTATTGATTAAGTGCTGTTGCCATTTTGGAGGGTAGAAGTCTAGTAGTACAGGGCAAAGTTGTTCCATTCCAGTTGGTTTCTGGTTCCATTTGTTAGCGTAGACTTGGTTCTCCATAGCTGTAAAGAAAAATCAAAATGTGTTTTTCAACAGGAAAAGTAACTGAAATTTTAAAATTAGTTTTGTTCTGGTAACCTTAGGTAGTGACCTAGCACAGAAGAGGTTGTTGGAGTTTTCTTGTTATTACTTAGCAGTATCTCAGTCCTGATTCTTGGGAAAACCGTTTTAAGTCTCACATTTGTTCATGTTTTATCTACAATAATCCTGCTTGAAAACTAACCTTTTTTTTTATCACAGTTGTGATCCTGACAAGGACACATGGCTCATTTAGTTTCTGGCATTAGGAACAAAAGATGGTAATCCTGCCTTCTCACTTTGCACATTCCTTAAATGAAGAGTTATTAATCTTAGTTTTTAGAATATGTCTCGGTTTCAAGTTGGCTAAATCCACTAAATTCTTAATACTTAAAATGCATAACCGTCAAAATAATATTTTAAAGATCACATTATTGTAGAGATTATTCTCCCATTTGAAAGTGATCGTTGGCAAAATACCACATTAATAAAAATTACAATTATTTTCTGTGAGTAAATTTCTTCTGGTGTATTTTCTTCCCTGGCAGTTGGGGACAGAACGTCATCCAACATTTCCATAGAAAGAAGCCCCACAGAAACTGGGAATTGTTGATCCTAGCATATGAATAATTTTGGGATCTCCTTGAAGAACTTGAATGTCAAAAGGGTTTATAAGACAAGAAAACAATTTTTAAGGAAGACTAGTCCAAATATTTCTGTGATTAGTGTCCCTCAGAGCATGGTTACTGGGGAAAGGTTGACTTAGAGAATCTAACATTAACTTCACCTTTAATTACAGCTCTGACGTTCACCTTCTAATTCATTCAGTCAGCCACTTCTGTGTAATGTAATTTTTAGGTATGGTTAAAGCATCACTGATCCATTTTACTGCTAATGCAGCAAGGAGGCAATGACAGTTTCAGTGCAGAGCTGGCAATGGGGAAAGGTGAAAGAGTGGTCAGAGGAGAAAGCTATGGCCGAGGTCAGTGCCGTAAAGTTAGAAAATATAAAGGCTGGAAAGATTGACAAAGACTATAGGATCTTTACTCAGATAAGCTGTCTGTCTAAGGTGGATGCATAAGGCAGACTGAGAAAGTATGGTGCTAGACTGATCTGCCTTTATATAGGCAGAGAAAAAGGGACTAAAGTGAAGAGACAGCAGAAGGGACAGAAAAAGAGGATCTGGCAACACCTTCCTTGCTTCACATGGATAAACAGAAAATAAAGGCTTTGATACTTAAAGCACGTTCCCTTTCCCTCACAGCCTAAAACCCCTGCAAAGAATGGCTCTCTGTGTGTGTGATTGGGGGAAGAAACCACAAGATTATTTCCACAAAAGAAATATGCATGGTTTGCAGCTAATATCTTCCACGTTAAATTAGTTAATTCCAGTGTAAAATTGGTTG